TAATTGGGAATTGAAGATAGAAAAGGGTTACAAGATTGGTTCTGTGTCTCGATCACCTCTCTAGGTGGTGGTCCAGTATAGGCTTTGACTCATCACCATGCAGCCTGAGTATTACCCACAAAGTGGCTACCAAACAGTACCAAGACCCCAACCCTCATTTAAATTAGAAAAGGACACACTCAGGGGAGTTCCCTAGTTCTTTGTGTGAGCATGATCTGCTTTCAAACACATTCTTCCTGAAGGCAAACTGCCTCTGCTAGGCTAGGTTTCTCCTGGAACTTGTCTGTGCATCTCCACAATGCTGGTTTAATGGTCAGAAGAAACCCAAATGGTGCCAACCTCAAATTGGAGTTAAAGCTCCCACTGCAGACCACAGCCTTCCACAAACCCAAGTGTTTTGGAATTTAAGCTCTGATATAGTTCTCTTTGCTGTTTAGTTTATCTAGTCATCTATTTTTTTGTATTTTACAAATATGTCGATCCATAATGGATTGGGGCAAAAACTAAACCAAACCAAAAATAAACAAAAACTTCTATCTACTATATAAAAGTTTAAGAAGCACTGCCTTAGGGACTATTTTACTCATTAGCTATGTGAGCAAGGAAAATTGGAGAGACCAGATTTGAGAGGAATATTTTGGGATTATTTATATTTTGTTGAAGAAGTATGTCAAAGAAGACAATAAAGAAGAAGAGAAACAAAGAGTGTCGTAGAGTAGAAATAAGATAAAAAACTAGGCAGGATTAGATTTAAGGAGAGAAGAAGAACTATATTCAAACCAAACCCATTGTCATCGAGTTGATTCCAACTCATAGCAACCCCGTTTGGGTTTCTGAGGGTGTAAATCTTTATGGAAGTAGATTGTCCAGTCTTCCTTCTGTGGACTGGACAGTGAATTTGAACCAGCAACCTTCTGGTTAGCAGTCAAATGGCGTAGGCTCTATGCCACCAGAACTCCTGTGCTAGGCATGTGATTTCTGGCAATATGATGGATTTTTTTTTGAGAATAGAGAATAATTTTGAGGCCCCAGATCAATTTAAAGGGATCTGCTGGCATAGTGCCTAACGCATTTGACTGCTAACCAGAAGGCTGGTGATTCAAACCCACCAGTCACTTCTCAGAAGGAAGACTGGACAATTTACTTCTGTAGTGATAATGCCTCAAAAACCCAAGGAGGGGTCACTATGAGTCAGACCCGACTTGATGGGAGTGAGTTTGGTTTGGTTTTTTGGTTTAATTTTAAGGCAGCCAGGGTTGAGAAAGTATATCCTATGAGAGTCTGGAAGAGCTCTGGTAGCATAGTGCCTAAGGAACTTGACTGCTAACCAGAAGGCTGGTGGTTCAAACACACCAGCCTCTTCTCAGAAGGAAGGTTGGGCAATCTACTTCCATAGTGATACCGCCTCGGAAACCCAAGGAGTGGTTGCTATGAGTCGGGTCTGACTCGATGGCACATAACAGCAACAACAACAACATGAGAGTCTGGAGGATGTTGATAGTGGTGGAGTGGAGGGCTCCCAAGAAACCAAGGCTTTCCTACTGAGTACTACAGTCTGTCAGAGAAACTGCCAACTGTGGCACCTATGGTTCTCTTTGCCTAAACAAATGCAACCTGAAAACCATATTGTGGTCTCTTTAGTTTCCAACAGCTAAAT